CTTTATTATACTTCTGGTGTTTATAGTTGTTAAGGTTTAACGATTTTATTATGGTGTTTATTACTCACAGGTACATGAAAGTGTTGAAAGATTACGTAAGAAACCCATCTAGACCAGAGGGATGTATAGCGGAGTCTTATCTAGCAGAGGAATGCATGAAGTTTTGCTCAAATTTCTTGAAGAAGACCACAAATGTGGAGGAAAAAGACGACAGAAACACAGAGTATGAGAACAAGACTATCCTAGAAGGAAGACCAATATCAGCTGCCAAGTCATTCACGCTCAGTGAGTCAGACATGAAAATTGCTCATTTGGCGGTAATTCAGAACACAGCTATGGTGGATTCTTATGTTGAGTAAGTTTTTTTTAATTACAAAGCTCTCTGCAAAAGCACATAATCCGTTGCGCATCTCTGACATTTTTTTTTCGTTGAATATGCAAGTGCTCATTTACAACATTTACAAGATTCAAATATGAGATGTCGGCGTGATGCTAGCTATTTGTGGAGTATGCACACACAGAATTTCCCTTCATGGCTAAAACAACAGGCATGTTCTGTTTTTTTTTTTTGTCATTATCTTCTATAACTGTAAACATGTTAACTTAATCCGACTTGAAATGGAAACTGATATATGCCTTGAACTGTAAACTTATAGATACCTCTTGATATGGAAGAGAAGGATGAGACTCTTAGGTGGTTGGCTTACGGTCCACGGAGAATAGCCAGATCTTACACAGGCTACATTGTTAATGGCTTGCGGTTTCATACAAACTCGGTGCATAGACTTAGTCAGAATAGTGGGGTCTATTATGAGGCAACAGCGATGTGTAGATCTAGTGCTATAGACACAGCTCAAGTGGTTGATTTGGTGTCGTATTATGGCAGGGTAGTAGATATAATATTATTGGATTATAATGTTTTCTACGTGCCCATCTTCAGATGTTAGTGGGCAGTTAGAGGAAACGGTGTGAAGGTAGAAGATGGGTTTACACTGGTTAACATGAATCAGAGTCAAGTATCGTTTGCCAAGGATCCGTTTATTTTAGCTTCTCAAGCTAGGCAGATATTTTACTCTAGGGAAAACGATGAATCCAGTTGGTATGTGGTTATGAGAGGTCCATCTAGGAGATACAGTGATGAGAATGTAGAAGATGGAAATACTGATGTTGGACCATTACCTTCCAATGTGGACATGGGTCTAGAAGACTTGGAAGATGAGGCTCCTATGGTCAGAGATGATTGTGAAGGAATATATGTGTGATGGGGTTGATTGTTCTCTTGTTCGGAATTTCATATGATTGTAGGAGTTCGAGTAGATCTATTTTGTTCTGTCATTTGATTGAGATTGGAAAATTCTGCAATTGGTTATTATTTATGGTTTTGAGTCATTGCTTTTTGATGATTTGTTTGTCTGCGTTTGGCTAACTTATTATGTGTTTGATTTTGTAAACTTGGTTTTGAGTCTTACAGTAGGGGAGCAATGGGTAAATCCAGGAAGTATTCTAAGAAGAGGAAGAACCTCGGAGCCGATGTGGATGATGAGCCTGAGTTCATTTGCACTATTGATGAACAAACTGGTGGACGACTACTGCCATAAGAGACCCAAGAAGCAGACACACAGCCGGAGGTACAACAACCTGAAAAGGATTGTCAGATGCCTGAAGGTGACGAACAAGTATCTGGCTCACAGCCACAAGATACTGTTCCGGTGGAGGTTCAGCCAGTCAGTAAGAAGCAGAGAGGTCCAACAAAGATGAAAGATATTGCTAGGGATCCAAATTCTCGCATTAAAGTTGAGTTCACTGAGTTAGGAGAACCGTGTGGAGAAGGGTCGGTGAAGTTGTCTTCTTACCTAGGCCCATTGGTGCGTGAGCATGTTCCAGTCTTAATTGATGATTGGAGAAAGATTGGTGAGGAGCTGAAGACAGTTCTCTGGAAATCAGTTAAGGTACTTTCGTTTCATATTGCATAAAATGTATTACTCTTCACGACATCGCTCTTATGATAATTATTGTTGGCAGATACGCTTCGAACTAGATGGAGCATATGAGAAGGCTGCTGTTATGAAGCAGATGGGGTGTTTATGGAGGGCATCAAAGTCACGCCTTGTTAAGCAGATTAACAAGGCTAAAAACCATGCAAACAGAATGAAACTCAGACCAGACAATATCCCAACTCCAGAGTGGAGAAAGTTTGTGAAACAGAAGACTAGTGTGGAATTTAAGGTAATAAATTATCAGAACTTTATATCTTATTGTTATTGCATCTAACCCTCGTTATTAGGCTGTCAGCGAGACATATAAGGAACGAAGAAGCAAGCAGATACCTCACACATGTAGTCGTAGAGGGATGGTTAGACTAGCTGAAGATTTAGTAAGTATAATAAATGTATGATATAACTATGAATTGTTTATGTGATTATTGGATTTGTGATTGTGTCTTCTTACAATATTGTACAGAAAAAGGAGAGCTCAGAACCAGCTGAAGTGACAAGACTTAATGTGTGGGTGAAGTCACGAACGAAAAAGGATGGGTCAGCCGTGAACACAGATGCTGCTTCCAAAATCGTAAGTAGTATTCTAAACATCTGAGTGACTCGTATATGTTTATCTCTGAAAATATAAGCCTATAAAAACGAGAGTGAGATGTTGTTACAAGGACAGGCGAAGGAGATCATGCAATCTGTTGCTGCATCAGAGTCATCTTTGAACCCAAAAGAAGACACGCTTGCACAGATTTTGGGACCTGACAATCCTGGACGCCTGCGAGCAATGGGTAGAGGAATGAGCTTGAGCAAACTTGCTTGTTTCCAAGTGAAGAGCAAGTATGTGTCTGATATGCAGCAAACTCAAGTTCAGTTGCAGCTGCAAGTCAACGAGTTACAAGAAGCCCTTGAGAAACTGAATAGCAATGTACGTTATCATCACTTCATGAATGATTATTTACACTTAACGATTATTTATCTCTCAACTTACACTTTATCTCCTGTAAACTTGTAGCGTGCGGAAGCAGATGTGGGTGAAAACTCAGCCCAGCGAGTAATCATATTTTTATGAAAGTTTAATTTATTCTTTCCCTTAATACTGAACTAACCCTGACGGTAAAAATTTGACAAATGTAGAGTGTAAACCAAAGAACAAAGCCTAAGTGCATTCTGTTTGACTGGGCTGGATCTGAATACAAAGTAGCTGAGGGTCGAATTTTGTCTTTCGATCACATGGACTTTATCAACAGTATACCATTAGGACCTAACTCAGTGAAGGTGTTGGTGGAGATGGCTGTCAACGGAGACGCATTTCTCTGGAGGCCTGCACAAAATATGTTATGTATTTCTCAGGCGGTAGGCGAAACTATTGCGTGGCCTCAGAATTGTGTCGTTGCTCTTGAAGATGAGTTTCAACCAGAAGATATCCCTCCTAAGGTAATGTTTACGGAATGAGAGCAAGATATGTTGTAGCTTATGATTTCATTTAGTTACTAACATCTTATTGTTTTGGCGTCACATCACTTCTGTCTCAGAGCCCAAGCACAACGTCTGTGAACAAATGCAAACTCCTGAACTGGGTATCTAATGATGAAGAACCTGTAGCTGAAGGCCGCTGGCAGACTCGTGATCCCAAAGCTTTGGTGAATGGCTTACCTTTAGGACCAAATGCCATAAAAGTGTTCGTCGATGTGGTTATAGAACCAGATACTTTTATTTGGCGGCCAACAGAAGAACTTTCAAACCTTCAGGACTCTTTGAAGACATTTGTAGCGTGGCCATTAAACGAGTTGTATTCGACGATCTAAACACAGAGGCATCAGTCACGGCATCTCCTCGCGGCCAGCCTCAATTACTTACTCCAACAGCTCCTATCAAAAGTTCAAAACCAGTATCACAATCTCCTACTTCAGGCTCCTCACAGCAGGTATGCTTTCAATCTGGTACATTTCATATCGGTCTGTTATTATGTTATGGTATTAAGTGGCGCGTGATGATAGGATTTTAGGTGGATGTGTGATATGATATGAGGTGGAATGCAAACAGGGGTGAATAAAGATGAATGGTATGGTGCAATCACAATCAATCAATTCCTCTTAACCATCATAGTCATGTAGTATAAGAGGTTATCAATCCAAAATGGGAAACTTGTCACTCTTTGAGAATATGAAACCACAAGAAAGTCAAGCAAGCAGTAATAGATTTGAAGTAACACTAACAACCTAAATGAAGCAGAAATGAAATGCAAAAGTAAACAAAGCAGTGAAGTGACAGCTCGACCAAGACTCGAGTCGAGTCAGAACAAAGTACCAGCTCGATCGAGTTTAGGGACGAGTTGAGACAAAAAAGCTAAAGGACGACTTTAACAAGATAAGCGAGAATTAGGGTCTAAGACAGGGTTTACAATCAGAGGAAGGCTATACTTAATCAATCTTGCTCTTAAAACTCCTTGTATCAAGGCTTCTCTTGATATTGAGCTTCTCAATGCCTAGCAACCCTTTCCCAAGGTGAAAGCTATCAACCAAGGAATGATCTCAGAAACAGGGGGTTAGCCAGTGAGAATCAAGCCTTGGAGGCTATAGGATCATTGCCCAAACTAATCCATCCAACCCCTTAGACCTCTATTTTCTAGAGCAAGAGATATTGGAGCTCTTAGTGGATCTTTTCCAGCGAATTGCCATCACTTTCGTGTGGGGAATCGCCTAAGGACTTACAAGCCAGGGGTAGTGGTCATGTAGCCTTAAGATCTATCCAAAAGAGAGAGATCTAGATTAAGACCATAAGCTAGAAGGATTAAGCATAAAACCTCTAATCTATCCCATCTCAAACCCCTAATGGGTAACTACTCACTACACATGAATGTAAACACAAGCAAATGCAATAAAAGAGACATCATAAGAAAGAGGAGATGAAATTAAACAACTTTTATTGAAATAAGCAAGTGCAAATACAAAGAGATTATCCAGGATCTAGGATTCAAGAAGCAAGAGCTTCAAGAACACAAAGATTGAGATTATGGTGTCTGCGCCAATAGTACAAGCTCCGAACTGGGATCACCCATTTGAGATTATGTGTGATGCATCTGACTATGCAGTAGGAGCAGTGCTTGGCCAAAAGATAGACAAGAAACTCAATGTCATCTACTATGCAAGAAAGACTATGGATGATGCTCAGTGCAAGTATGCAACCACAGAGAAGGAACTCCTTGCCATAGTCTTTGCCTTTGAGAAGTTTCGAAGCTATATAGTTGGATCCAAGGTGATTGTGCACACTGACCATGCTGCCCTTAGACACATCTTCGCTAAGAAAGATACAAAGCCAAGACTTCTCAGATGGATCCTTTTGCTTCAAGAGTTTGATATAGAAGTTGTGGACAAAAAGGGAGTAGAAAATGGAGTTGCTGATCATCTCTCTAGGATGCGAGTTGAAGACATGATCCCCATCAATGATTCTATGCCTGAAGAACAGCTTATGGCAATCATGATCTTAAAGGAGAGTTTTGATGAGAAAGCCAGGCTGGAAGAAGTTAAGGCTCTGCGTGATGAGAATTTGCCATGGTATGCTGATATAGTGAACTTCATGGTGTCCGGAGAAGTCCCTAGTAGCTTTGATGCTTACAAGAGGAAGAAATTCTTCAAGGATGCTAGGCATTACTATTGGGATGAGCCCTACCTGTACAAGAGAGGACCAGACAGCATTTACAGGAGATGCATTGCTGAAGAGGATGTGCAAGGAGTTCTAGAGTATTGTCATGGGTCAGCTTATGGAAGTCATTTTGCTACATTCAAAACAGCAACAAAGGTTCTGCAATCTGGATTGTGGTGGCCTACCTTGTTTAAAGATGCAGCAAGCTTCATCGCAAAATGCGACCCATGCGAAAGGAAAGGAAGTATCACTAAGAGAGATGAAATGCCACTGAACCCAATTCTGGAAGTTGAGATCTTTGATGTGTGGGGAATAGACTTCATGGGACCTTTCAAGCCTTCCTCAAACGGACACAACTACATTCTGGTCGCCGTGGACTATGTGTCCAAATGGATCGAAGCAATCCCCTGCCCAACTTGTGATGCTAAAGTTGTTATCAAACTGTTCAGAACAAGGCTGGACGAAGCTCTTTGGGCCTATAGAACAGCTTACAAAACCCCCATTGGAAGGTCCCCTTTCAACTTACTGTATGGAAAGGATTGTCACTTACCTGTAGAGGTAAAGTACAAGGCACTATGGGCAGTGAAGATGCTGAACTTTGATATAAAGGCTGCACAAGAGAGAAGACTAATGAATTTGTTTGAGTTGGAGGAAATCAGAATGAATGCCTATGAGAACTCCATGATCTATAAGTTGAGAACAAAGGCAGCCCATGACAAACTGATTCGCCTTAAAGACTTCAAGGCTGGGGACAGTGTGCTCTCGTATAACTCCAAGCTAAGGTTGTTTCCCGGGAAGCTGAGGTCAAAGTGGGCGGGACCATTCAAGATTCACGAAGTTTTACCCTATGGGTCCCTCACTTTACTCAATCAAGAGGGGAAGGAATTCACAGTGAATGGACATAGATGCAAGCCATATCTAGGAATGACCCCCACAGAGGAGATCATCACTCCTCTAGAAGATCCAACCCCGGCCTAAAAGGGGTAAGGTCAAGCTAGAGACCTAAAACAAGCTCACTTGGGAGGAATTCCCATGTCTATCTTATGTATTTATGCTTTATCCTTTTATTTTTATGATTTTCTTGGCTAAGTCTCACAGGAGCAGGTTTTAGGAAGAAGAGGCTGACTCGAGGCACAACTCGATCGAGAAGCCACAAGCTCGATCGAGTGAGCCGAACCCAGTCGAGTGGAGTGCTCCTGATGGCCGTCTACCATCTCCAGACCACGACCTGCCTCCCAGTTCTTTGGGGGGCACTGAGGTATCCAAACACCAACCCTTGTATATACCATTTCATATTTTCTTGCATTTGTTTTGTTTTTCTTGGTTTTGCCCTCTTGAATCTTTCACTAAATTTTTCTCACACAAGGGACTGTGTGATTTAAGTTTGGGGGAGGGTTCAAGAGATGATTTAACCTTGTTTTCTTTGTTCTTAGTTTTTCATTATCTTTTGCATAGAAAAACCAAAAAAATCATAAAATTTTCAAAAAATCCAAAAATATTTTCATCTTTTTGCATTCATATTTTAGACTTGTTTAGGATTGCATTTTCACTTGCATTGTTGATTTGACTTTGAAAACTTGTTCATCTTTTGCGATTTCTTGAGTGCCCTGTTTTTAGATTCTTTTGTGCATTAGGGTGAGATTGATTGAGCAGCAAGAACCATGTTTATCTTGATCATATCACTGCATGCACATCTCATTCAACCATTGCTGTGATTTGATGCATTTCCCTATCTATTGAACCATAACTTGATCTTTAATTACCAATGCTTGCATTTGATTTCAACTCATGGCTACCACATACATATCTGGACATTCTTTACCTTTCATATCCCTCTTGCTTGTCCAGATAGCTGATCTCTATCTTTGAGACAGTTACCACACCTTAAACCTAAGCCTTTTCATTTCAAACCCCATATTATCTCTTGTGCGAATGTGAGAACCTTTCTTGGCTTTGCTTAGCATAAGGTGTTGTGTTTAAACCGGCAGGGGCAGTAGTTCTAGTTGTCTAGTTCTCTTGGGATTGTTTTCAGGCTAAGTTTGGGGGTGCCAACTCGAGCTCGATCGAGTTGGGTGTAAAAACCAGAAAAGTGGTAAAAGTTGGGAAAACCCAAAGGAAAAAGAGTTTAGTTAAGTCCAGGGAGTTGGCAGTGTTAAAAAGGGTCTAGTAAAGGTTTGGGAAGTTAAAAAAGGAAGTAAAAAGGGTTCTAAGTAGAATGAAAAGAAGGCAAAGCCTCAAGTGTCAAAAAGGAAAGAAAAGTTCCCTAAGTGTTTAGAAAATCCCAAACCGCTAGATGTTACCTCAAGAAGCCTCTCCCTAGGAATGTTCTTAAAAGAAAAGTGAGCAAAGCTCCTCAGTTTCAAAGGCGAAATGCCAAAAAGGGTAGTTAGGATTTTGTTCTAAAAAGCTCTAAGTGTTGAACTCGATCGAGTTAGGATTAGACGGCTCGAGCTGCTGTTCTTGCATCATCTTTGGTTCTAACACTTAGCCTTCTGCCAAAGCAAAGCCACTTTCTTGAGAGATCCCTGTTACTAAACCACCATACAAAAGAGACCCTCTTTGTCTCTTAACCCATAAACCCTTGAAACCAAATGAGTTGATTGATCTTGCATGTTTTTGGTTCACTGTTTTTGCTTAATGAATGTTAAAGGGATTTGCTGATTTGAATGCATTGTTTGAGTGACTGTGAAGTGGGATTGATGTTGATAAGCATGGTTAAATCTTAATGAATATCTCTCACCTTGTTGCATTCTAGAATCTCTAAGTTGGACATTTAGCAAATCGCTTTTGAGGACATGTTTTTAAGTGTTGAATCAGCTGTTTTCAAACCTCATCTCTTTCTTGTTCTATTTGTTTGCTTGAGGGCAAGCAAAGTTCAAGTTTGGGGGTGTTGATGTACTTGCATTTTACATAGTTTTAGCACATCTTTTATGCATCTTTTGCATAGTTTTAGCTTCCATTTGCATCATATCTTGTTCCTTTTCTCTTCTTATGCATTCATGTTAGTTTTAGGTTGCATTTGCATACATATGCATGTTTGGTCCTTTGAAATAGGTCTTTTGGAGCATTCTGGAGCATATGGGACATGAGGAGCATGGAGGGACTTGGCACATGGAGCAGCTCAACTGGATACGCAAAGGAAGAAGGGAGAAGCCATCTTGAAGACCAGCTCGACCGTCTACTCGACCAACCGGTCGAGTTCCTCAACTCGACCGGCCAAGCTTCAACTCGATCGAGCTGAGAAGTCAACAGTCAAACCCGAAAAATGTTGCTTCCCCCTTGACTTTCCTTTGACCCTAAACCTAATCCTCTTGTATTTAAAGGCTCTAAGCCACGAAAAAACCACCAAGCTTTAGATTATTTTGTTTTAGTTTCTTTTAATTTATTGTCTTTTACTTTTTAGAATCTAATCCCATCTTTGTGTTCTTGAAGCTCTTGCTTCTTGAATCCTAGATCCTGGATAATCTCTTTGTATTTGCACTTGCTTATTTCAATAAAAGTTGTTTAATTTCATCTCCTCTTTCTTATGATGTCTCTTTTATTGCATTTGCTTGTGTTTACATTCATGTGTAGTGAGTAGTTACCCATTAGGGTTTGAGATGGGATAGATTAGAGGTTTCATATGCTTAATCCTTCTAGCTTATGGTCTTAATCTAGATTCTCTCTCTTTTGGATAGATCTTAAGGCTACATGACCACTACCCCTGGCTTGTAAGTCCTTAGGCGACTCCCCACACGAAAGTGATGGCATTCGCTGGAAAAGATCCACTAAGAGCTCCAATATCTCTTGCTCTAGAATAGAGGTCTAAGGGGTTGGATGGATTAGTTTGGGCAATGATCCTATAGCCTCCAAGGTTTGATTCTCACTGGCTAACCCCCTGTTTCTGAGATCATTCCTTGGTTGATAGCCTCACCTTGGGAAAGGGTTGGCTAGGCATTGAGAAGCCCAATATCAAGAGAAGCCTTGATACAAGGAGTTTTAAGAGCTAGATGATTAAGTGTAGATTCCTTTGATTGCAAAACCCTGTCTTGAACCCTAATTCTCTCTTATCTTGTTAAAGTCGTCACCTTTAGCTTTTTTGCTCAACTCGACCCTAAACTCGATCGAGCTGGTACTCTGTTCCTACTCGACTCGAGTCTTGGTCGAGGCTTGCTTACTGCTTTATTTACTTTTTTGCATTGCATTTCTGTTTCATTTAGGTTGTTAGTGTTACTTCAAATCTATTACTGCTTGCTTGACTTTCTGGTTGTTTCATATTCTCATAGAGTGACAAGTTTCCCATTTTGGATTGATAACCCTTTGTACTACATCAACTATCATGGTTAAAGGGAATTGTTGACTGTGTTTGTGTTTGCATCTTACCACCTCATCATATACCACTGATTGCATTCCAACATCTCATTTCATATCTTTTCACATCCACACACAAATCCTATTATCAGCCCCCCAAAGAACTGGGAGGCTAGGTCGTGGTCTGGAGATGGTAGACGGCCATCAGGAGCACTCCACTCGACTGGAGTCGCCTCACTCGATCGAGCTTGCGGCTCCTCCTCTTCTTCTTCTTCATCTTCAAAGTGGGTGTGGCTTCCTTGGCCTTGTTGGAGCTGCGCTTGCTCGAAACGGTTGTAGGGGGTCCAGTTGGTCTGGGAGAAGTCTTGGTAGGGCGTTGGGGTCGTACTCGAATCCGGGGTTCTCAAACAGGGGCTCCTCCAGGTCAACTCGACCCTCAGCTCGATCGAGTTGAGTTTCCTCTGTTTGGACTCGATCAAGTCCGGTGGTCGAGTTGGAGCGTCTGACCTTAGAGCTCTTCCTCCTTCTCTGTGAGTTGTCTTCCCCTTCCCTTGGCTCGAATGAAGAGGCTCTGTGAGGTTCTTGTGTGGAGAGCCTCCTTTGAGTGGTGAGGAGTGATCTACTCCTAGGGAAAGTGGGGGCCATGGGTGCCTTCTTCTTCTTGCTTGAAGAACCAGAAACTTTCTTCTCCAAACTCTTGATCTTGCTCACCATCTTGTCCATGGACTTTTGCATCTTTTCCATGGCTTTCCCTTGCCACTTGTTGAACCTTTGGAGAAGTCCAATCCTCTTGTGGGCAGCCACAACAGAGGGGTTCATCCTTGGAGCCTCATACTCCTCAAAATAGTAGCACTCAGGCTCGCCCAAATCCGCATTCACATGAGCGTTGTCCTCAACTCGATCCTCAGCTCGATCGAGTTCAGGCTCCTCTTCTCGCAAATCCTTCATGCCCAACTAATGTGTAAAGTGGGGGGCTGAATCAATGTTTGTACCTCCTAGAACTGTGGTGAGCTCAGGGTTGGGCAGAAGAAGCTTGGAGGGGCCAGCCAAAGGATGAGTGAATTTGAATTGGAACCTCCCATCCAACTCCTTGTGTTCAATGAAGAGGTTGGTCTTGCAAAACTTAATATCCATCCATCCTGCTGGAGTAGACCTTCTCTTGTCCAAATGGACTCCAGCTGCACAAAGGATTGGTGTGATCACCCCTCCAACACTAAGTTTCCTTCCCGTTTGGAACCTAGTGTTGTAGGCCGTGTCTTGTAGGCGAGTAGCTGCTCAAGGAGAGGCATGAGGTTTCCCTGCATGTGCCCTATCTCCTCTGATCTTCTTCCCATCCCTTGTGCGTGAGATGATGGGCTTGATTCCCATGTCAAGGAGCTTCACTTCTCCTTCATTGATTGTCCAGTGGCTTTCCTTGCAAAGAAGGTGTTGGCAAGAGCCTTGTGGACATATCTCAGCACTGGGACTTCTGATTTGAGCAGCCTTAGACCTTGAGGAAGAGTACTCCATCAGCGATTGTAGCCCAAACCTTTGGAGCTCATCTTCCTTGATGTTCCCAATAGGTTCCTTCTCCATAAGTGAACCCAAACAGTATCTCAAGCTGCCTAAAGGTAATGCCTTCCTTTCTCCCCTTGCCAAGAACGTGATCCATCCCCAGCCTTGGTCCAACTCAGCTCGATCGAGCTCACAAATTGGTGAACCTCATTGATGCCAAAAACTCACAAGTCAGCTCCTTGTATGACTCCAAGCGGTAAGAGAAGAACTTGGCCAGTTGCATGTTCTTGAGCACCAACTCCACATCCTCAAAGATCCCAAGGTCTCTCATGGTGTCATCATGTGGGTACTTGGCTCCACAAAGTCCATGGAGAAGAGAGCATTGTAGTGCTCTTGGTACATAGGGAGTTCTTCTTCCTCCTCTTGTGGCTCAGCTTCCTCCATGGGCTCATCTTGGTTACCCTCTTGATCACTCTCATCAACCAATCGGTTCACCTCCTCTTCTTCCTCTTCACTCTCAGTCTCGTCACTTCCTACTTGAATTGGAGAGCCATAACCCCCCTCTTGAACAAGGTTAATCCCAATCTCAAAATCCCCTTGTTCGCTTTCACTACCAATGGGATCATTCCTCTTCTTGGTTTTCCTTTCCTCCCTCAACCTCTCACTTTCAGACTGCTCTTCAGAGGAGACATGATCCCCTGCCTCAGATTCTGCCATCTGCTGGTTCCTCTCTTCCCTCGATCTCACATACTCCAAACCTTCATCTATGGACATCCTTTCTCTCATTCTCCTTGCTTTCTCTGCCTTTTGCTTTCTTGCTACAGCTGCTTGGCTTCCCTCATCTCTCAACATCTTGAACTTGTTGCTTCTTGAAGTTGTGTTCCTGAAATGGATCAAAAACTCAAGGAATTAGAGTTGCAATCGTTGGTTCGGCCAACTCGACACTCAACTCGATCGAGTAAAAAAAACTTGAGTGACAAACTCGATCGAGTCAAGTGAAAACAGAGTATAACCGAACCTAAATCAAACAAAAAGAGCTGGAAAAGATGCTTAACAATCAAATTGAACCAAGAACAACTAGGTATATGGGACAATTAGCAATTTTAGTGAAAAACAAAGCATCTTAACCAATACCAAACTCAAATTCAATGGAAACAAGACATGCAACAATTTCTAGTGGAAAAACAGAGGTGAGGTGAGGCAAATTCACAAGATTATACAAATATGAAGCATAAAAGAAAGCAATGACTCAAGGATAAGTCCTCAAGGGACTCATGCAATCAAAATCAAAGAGAAAACAAGCAAAAAAGAGATATCGAGATGAAGGAATCAAGGGTTTTAAGTGTTCATACCTTGCATGGATGATGGAGGAATCACAGAAGCTAGAACTTAAAGCAAACAAGATGATGAACAATGAAAATCGCAAAACCTTAAGAGAGAAAGAGGGGAAATCAATTTTTGTTTGTGGTAAAGAGAGAGAGAGAGTGGTTTCAGAAAATTTAGGGTGTGGGAGAGGTGGATTCGATCGAGTTATGGGGAAAATGGAGTGTTTGAGATGTGTGGTTGAGATTAAAAGGTGAAATAAAGAGGGGACAAGAGCTAGGGGCTTTTCTGATCAATTTCAGGAAGTGGGGGACCAAAATTAACTTGTGGGACCCACTCCCTTGACCAAGGAAAACGGTTAAAATTTCAAATTAAAAACTTACCTCGGTCGAGTTGTGGAACTCGATCGAGTTGCCCTTGTTCTAGCTCGATCGAGCTGTCGGTCGAGCTGGCTCCTTTGTCACCTAAACTTAACTCATTGTAAGGTTAGAACATGAAAAGAGATAGAAATTGCATAAATAGAATATGTACAAGGATAAACATGGGACTTCCTCCCAAGTGAGCTTGTTTAAGGTCCCATAGCTTGACCTTTACCTTCTAGGCATTGGTTGAGCTAGTCCCACCATCAAGGGTGATAGTGAGGACTTGAGACAGAAGCTCCTTTAGCTTGGTTGGGTCCCTGGATTGTTCTGAAGTCACCAAGGCTTTGGCTCTAGAGAATGGCCTTGATCTCCCCTTGTACCTTATCTTGTACTCAATCTTCCCATTTTCAAACTTGGTGGGGAACAAAGTCATTGTGAGCTGAGATGGCTTGAATGAAGGGGCCTGAGCTGGTGGATCTTTTCTTTTATCCCCTGGTCTTGCCTTAGAGGCTACATCCTCCCCTTCTTTTAGAGCCCTTCCTAGTGGCTCATCAAACAAAGCTTGAAGGCTTTCTTCATCAAGCACACAAGGGGCTTGAACAAGTCGATCAGCTCGTGGTCTATCAGACGTGGTTTCTCAACTCTAGCCCTCTCAAGACGTGGCTTCTCAATCCTTGGTCCTCTCTCAACCTTATCCTTCCCAACTCTTGGTTCTTTGTCAATTCTTTCCTTCACAATCTTTGTAGCTTCATGACTTCTTAGAACTGAGAGTGGTACTGTCAATTGTGGCACAAAAGTCTGAACCTCTAGGCTGCAAGGATATGACACCAAACTATTCACCTTGTGAAGGATCACTTCTTCTTGTGAAAGTCTATTGAAGCGCCAACTGTACTAAGGAATGGGGTTCCAATAACAGAGGTAGATCCTTCTCTTCTTCCATTTCCATCACAGTGAGATCAGTTTGGATGATGCATTCTCCAATTTTCAAGTGATAGTTCTTGAACACTCCAAGAGGAGACTTAGAAGTTGCATCTCCAAACATAATTGAAGTAGTAGGGCGCTGCAAGGCTCCAGCAAGGCCTAGCTTCTCTGCCATGGAGAGAGAGATCAGATTGATGCTTGCTCCAGAATCCACTAAGGCATTGTCAAGCTCAAGATGCCCAAGTGTGCAAGGGAGAGTGAATTTCCCTTGATCCTTGACCTTTGGTAGGAAGGTGGGTGAAGTAAGCAGGTTGAACTGATGAGTAGACTCCTTCAGGACCTCTGAAACTTTATCACTGTTGGCTAGAATATCCTTGACCATTTGCATTTGATCAAATGCCTCACTCATGTTATCCATAG